ATATATATATATATATATATATATATATATATATATATATATATATATATATATATATATGCATGTATGAATATATATATTTATATATATATATATATATATATATATATATATATATATATATATATATATATATATATACATATATATATATATATATATATATATATATATATATATATATATATATATATGTGTGTGTATATATATATATATATATATATATATATATATATATATATATATACACATATGTATATATATATTTACTGAATGTGCCGGGCGTCAAACACGAGGTTATATAATAAAGAAGACAACCTGCGTGAGCCAGTTTTATTTGCTACAAAATTATAACGATAGGAAAACAATAAATTATATAAAAACCGCAAGTGTTGGGGTGACAGCTCACACTGCATATATTTTTTATCATGGATTGAAAATGATAATAGGCCTATCACGTGGAGGTGAGAATAAAAAATCCCGAAATCCATTCTAAGTCAAAAAACGAAAAATGGGTAACAATGGCGTGAGTTGTGGAAGAGGGGGGACTAGGCTAAACGACCTTTATAGTCACTTTGGGGATTATCACCGTGAATTATCGACGAGATGGGATTGGCCTGGAGATACCTTGACAATGGATTCGAACACAGTCACTCTCTTGTTTCCGGGGATAAGGAATTGCCAAGGAGATATGTTGGTAATGGATTCGAACATACATGTTCTTTTTTAGAGGGGGGGGGGGGGGGGGGGATTGGCTTAGATTCGAACGCACTCATTCACTTGTTTTCTGGGAGGGGCGATTGGCTGAAGATACCTTGGCAATGGATTCGAACGCACTCATTCACTCGTTCTCAGGGAGGGGAGTTGGCTTGGAGATACTCTGGCAATAAATTCGATCACAGTCATTCACTTATTTTTGTGGGGTGGACTGGAGGGTTGCCACTTTGACATACGAGGGATTAAGAATAAGAGGATTTTTTTCTTAAAGAATGGGACACCGGGAAAGCTCTATCGAAACTCTTATTCAAGTCTTGATCAACAAGCAAATGATAGTCTTCGTGAGCAGTGACGCTACGGGTAAGGTTACGCAGCATGTTTTATTGGCCGGGAACGGTCGACGAAAAGGGACGGGCTTAATCACCGAAAAGATACTAGGCTTCAAGGTCAAATGGGCGGGGCCAGTGGCTTCTTGCGTCATGGACAGAAGTCGGACAGTCGGCGACGCCCGAGGCACGAGCGAGCGCGGCGGCCGCTCGTGTTTGCAGGAGGCGAGTCGTCATTCCGAACAAAGCAGAAGAAAGTCCCTTTTCCTGCATTTCCACCCCTTTGGGTGGTTTGAGAAACGGTCACTTGTCGACTTCGCATCATTAGATGAGCTTGCTGTATCAGAGAGGCAGTAAATGTCGCCTGAAGATATGCAATATTCATCACTACTTTGTTTGGAAAGCAAATTCGCTCGCAGGAGACATGACATCATGTCAACAAATAGCCAATGAAAGATCAGCTTCATTAGCTTCTTAAATATCAACAAACAAAATCAATTTGATAAATTCTCTTCATGGTCCATAACAACTTAGTTCATATAAACCTTATCTATTACGTGCCCAAGACTCAGTTCCGTGAATCATAACAAAATCAACTTTCTTTCTAAGCTGCGTCTGGGTGGAATATATTCAGGGAGAAATTCAAAGACGAAATATGAAATAGTAGGGAAGGATAAAATAAACTGAATATTTGATAACTTATGAAAAAAAAAGAAATATAGCAATATAGTGAGATTGTTTTAAGAAATGTAACTTGTAAACGTTTGTGCACAATGTATGTTAAAGTGATTGCAGCCGCTCCTTGAAAATGAACGTTACATATGCAGATCATATGGCAGTGTCCTTGTACTTGTTTACTATGGTATTCTTAGTCGTGGACTGATGACTTTTACCCCAAATGTAAGTTACAATTCCCATACATTTACATAATATTAAAGTGAATTCTTTCTTTCATTCCTATACCAAGATACCCTTTTGTGTCAAATATATGTTAACTAGACTGCGATTACTGTACACCCATGATGTTGAACCATGAGGTGCTGTGCGTTATGTTCACTGTGTTGTTCATTTTAGTGTAAGAATGAAAAGGAGGAATCGGCGGAATAGAATAATGGCAGGAAGAGAGAACCATAATTACGGTGAGCGAGGTGCACTGAAGTCAAAGCTCGGTGAAGTAAGTGTGATGAAGGCAAGTACTGTGAAAGAGGAGGTACGTGGAAGGATCAGCTCTGAAAGGAGTCCAGGACGCCTCTCCTGTGAAGGGGAATTCCTGAAGCGTGTCTAAGCCTTCGGAAAAGATTTTGCCCTTAAGCACTGTCAACAGCTGGTTTCGCCTTTGTTTACTGGCAATGACTGTTTGGCTTATCGTCAGCCGCCAGTAATATTGTCTTCATTACCAGATTAAGGGGCAATGTAGAAAATGCTGCGCATGATTATTCCACCACATCGACACGGCA